TATGAACTTGCCCACATACATTTTTTTATTTGACTTCTGTTGGATTAAGATCACAGTTGTGATTTTGCTTATTTTAAAACATTATAACTGTAAAATTTGTATCAAGTCAGAAGTCATTCATTTCTGCAAAGCTGGCCCAAACCATGAAACTACCTCTACCTTAGTGGACGAAGTTCTGCTGGAATGCTTTCAGATGATTACACGTCTTGTTGCAGACCCAAATAAATGATCATAAATAATAATGTTATGCTGCGTTAAAAGAACAGTTGAGACTTTCTGATGGATGAATAATTAGAACGCCAACCAACATAAAACTAGTTTTTCTCTCCCGCACGCTAAACTCAACTGTTTTCTGTTAAAGATGCCCGAACACATTTAAGCGTCATTTTTAATGACTACAGCTCCAATCACTGCAAGTTAAAGGGAAAATTCCAAAGATTTTCTCAGATTTTAACAAACCACAACGACCCAGAGTGAAAGTAACGTTTTTCACTTCAGGCTCTGAACAAACTAAACAAGTAAGACATGAGAATGTTAATTAGTGAGCTGTGGAGATCCTCGTAGGTGGATTGTGTTTCTTTCTGGACAGTCTGTCTCGCCGCTTCTCCGTCGTTAGCAGAAACGTCTCTCGGTCCCGCTCAGGCAAACAACAGAATCGGATCTAAAACCGAACCCAAGCGCAAAGAAACAAAAACAGTCAAACTTTTTTTTTTTGCCTTCGGGAATCCATAAAGTTTAGCCGATAAACATTTTAAAGCCAGTGATTGTGGTTTCTTCTTGCTGCTCTAACAAAGCCGTCTCTGGATTCTTACGGGCAAATATAGAATAATGACATGTTTTGAAACAAACAAGCAGATCTGCTGAACCAGACTGAAGAATTCACAACTCTGGAAAGGGACCTGCTGAAAATGAGGTCAAGGAAGTTTCAATTATTTTATAATCTTTGCGCGTTGGGATTGCAACGGCGGGTTCGAAGCGTCAGATATGAAGCTGTGAAGACATGACCCACAGGCCGTGACCTGAGTCGGTTTAGCTGTTTCTCACAGTGATGTGGGGCCTCCGTGTGCAGCCCAGACGATGCCTCCAACTGTTTCAGCCCCTCAGGTAAGTTCTGGTGCTGGTCTCACTGTGTGCGCCACAGACAGAGCTTTCCTGCTGACGGTGTGCAACATGTGTCAGCTATTACAGCAAATTACAAATCCTCATTAGACGAAGGTTCCACTCTGATTCTGTAATCTCCAGAACGAGGAAGAAGTTGTCGCCTGCTTGCAGAGTTCCTGCAGGAATTCGTAGGAGATGCTGCTTGCTAACACTGCTCGCCGCCGAAAGGACTTGCATGTGTCTGTTAGCAAAATATCTCACGAACAGCTGGCCAGATTTAAAGGAACTCTCGGAAATTAATCAGTGGATGCTCAGCTACAGCTGATTAACTTTTGGAGTCAACCCCACCTAAAATGGCCACCAAAGCTGTTAAAACATGGCCAATACAAAAATGGCTTTACAGAAATCGTGATAAACTTTGGTGTGGTAGTAGCTGAGAGTAATACCCATCACACTCACTGAGAGCTAATAGATTGAGCAAAATCTTGCAGTGTCCCTTGAGTTTGTGCATAACATTATTTTCAAAATTTGACCAAAATGGCTACAACTGCAGTATTTCTCAATATAAAATGATTTTAGTTTAAAACTCTGGGTTCTAACTGAGTTTTGAATGAAAATAAATTATATCGTCAGGTAGGGATGCACGATATTATCGGCATGGAATCGGTATCGGCCGATACTAGCGATAATGTTAAATATCGGACATCAGCCATTCCATCAAAATAAATAATAAAAGGTGCTATATATATATATATATTGA